ACTCCGGGTTAGTTCATTCGTATCTATGACGCACACTCGATAAACGATCACGAACATAACGTCCCTAGGTATATATACATGCATGCCTACGCTTTATCACATTACCTTTGTACCGTCCCAGTGATTGTTCTTAGTTTATGTCAAAGAGATTAATGAGTTATATCAAGACTACTGAGACATTTATCCATGTGTTGTGGTTTGCCCAGAGCTCACATTCACATAATACATCACATTGTTTTCTAACCCAACAAGGCTTGTGATAAGCTGACTCGAAAAGTAGTGCTTTAGTTATTCGTTTAGATAAAGAATGCATGTTTCGAAAGCTATAAATGGCCTGTCCATTACATCGGTCATCTGATAACTATGGTAACGGTTTTTTTCAGTTTGTTCTTGCTATAAAGCATATGTGTGATTAAAGAAGGACCAGACCCATTATTTGGGCATGTAGTAATAACCCGCACAGTCTGCTTCACTCAGTGTTTTTCTAATCCTATCCAGTACTTCCTGTGCTCCGACCTTTGATGGTTCCGCAGTCGTGGCTCTGATCTCGCCTTTTGCTGCCCTCACTCGCCTGATTAATAGTTATTATTCGCACAAAAAACGGCTGTACGATTCAATCTCGACAGTTATTGTTTCCTCAGACCTTTGTTTCATTGAATCCTCGAATTTATCGGACATATAAGGTTGGGTGATCGACTCGTCTGTCATGTTCCCATTCACAATTCACAAAATACGCGTTAATCTCACCCCCGGGTCTTATGCAGTTTTCGTTGTAGGTTGCCTTTCGGCCCTGATTAGGCATTCTCGTTTCGAAATTGACAACCGCTGGGTCATTAAAGCCGTTGCACAATGCACAGTTCACCGTCCTCAACCGAGATGCTACTGCTGCTCGACGTCGAGTTAAAACAATTGCACTTTCAGGTTGGCTAGACCGAATAGAACCCCAATCATGATATATACTTCTCTCCTCCCTGTTCAACTTGCATGTTTTTCTTTCTTCAACCACTCATTATCTCGGATAGAATAAAAAATGGTGAAAAGTAATTTATTAGATNACCTGAAGTAGGGAAACAGACGCAAGCGAAGATAAAGTAACGATTTAGGAACTGATGATCGTTTCTTACTTCTGCAAAGGAAAACTAAATCATTCTGCCAAATCATCACCGGAATCAAATAGAATGTTATCATTCCATTTAACTTACTTATGAAACATTTTTAGTGAATGAGCTTCATTATTAACATAGCTGTAATATAGGTGAACCAGGCGGTATATTTGGCATCGGAGGCGATTGCTGATAACAGGAGAGAAGAACAGGAAATTTTTGTGATTGTTGAAGAAAAACAAAATGTTATCAGCGATTTAGGTTGCAATTAACTAGTAAACAAACTTACAGACAATGAAATATCCTTTTTTGAAAGGTATTTCACTGGATTTCTCGAAAGTGGAAAGCAAGGCTTTGTCGGACAGAGATTCCGTGGGCACCGCAGTTTTGTTGAACGCCAGATCGACGACTGCGAAAAGTCCCATATTGGTCGAATCACCTTGTGTACTTTTCACGTAAGATATTGGACTCTGATCTTGCACTCTGTTTCTCATTTCGCTCGCTATTCGGGCGTACTTGAGAATAGCTCTCACGTTCAATCGGTAGACAGTCCTGAGTCGACACGTAATGAATGCTTGCCAATTATCGGTTGTTTTCAGTACTTCCATGAGCTGAAATGTTGAAAAGCGTAGAACTGCAGTGTCTGTACATCGTTTCTTACACACTTCCGGAAATCACATTGGTGGTCAAAATAAAAGTTAGCACCTCACTGAACTGAGGAAACACCCGCTAAGAGGGACAAAAGCCAAACCACATGTTTTCAGAACCCACCCACTCACCCCTACTTTCAATGCGGATGGAGATGTTCTCTTAAGAAATTTGTTGCCAACGCTGTCCACCTCAGTTCCACCAGTTTTGTGTTGTCGAAGTTTTCGATAATTTTCGTTCGAGATGTTCCCAGCAGTTTTTAACTGGATTCAGATCTATCAGGCCACGGTGTGCAACGAGTTCCGTGATGCGGTTTGCTGGGAGTTTACTGCCCTGGACGATGAAGGTTGGTCTGTGTTCTGGCACCGGCTTCCATTTTTCATTTGTTAGCCTTCATTGGCTTGAAACACTCATGGTTTCGTCTATATAATACAGTTCAACCTTACCACCAAACTGTATAGTTCCCCACACTGTAACAGAACTCCCACCACTTTGTAAAATCGATTCACTCATTCCGTTTGTGCATCCCTGTCCCCTCGTTCACCATACTAGCATCTTTCAAGCCATAATTCGTTGCTGAAACCTCGTTTCCTTGCTCCAGAAGATATTGCCCCAGTGTTGCTGTTTCGTCGACCATTAAAGATAACTTTTTGGACGGTGATCAATCATCGAGATAAACTTTTTCAGCCATTGTGAATTCAGACTACATTTGTCCAACACTTGTCTGAGTGTATATTTGAAATTGGGAAAGGTATATTCATGTTTTAGAAAGGGTTACATTAAAAATTGATTTCTTCCCAGATATGGAAATATTCTTCGACCCACCCATTCGCCGGTCAAACCAAACTGAAATTAACCTAAGAAACGGTGACATTTATCACTTTGTTACACCTGCAAACTGTAGGTCTTCATCATTGTGTGGGGCAAATTTCACCACGTGCCGATATCGATCGTCTGACGAACAACTCGGTGCTCTTTCCTATTTGTTCTGAACCGAAATGATCCGGATGGAGGTCAACCGAAAAGCGGCTGTGAAAATCAGATTGTCTGGGTGCATCTCAATGCACTTTGGTAATTAAGAACACTTTTTTAAGGCGAGAGTTTTGTAGCCGGCTATTTCTGGTAGTCCAAAGACAAAATAAGGCAACCATACCGGCTCATCAAAAAGACCTGAAAGAAGCCAGTCAATCTGCGGTACCAGAATCGATGTTCACAAAGGTTTTATCTATAAGCAATATATATATATATATATATATATTCACGTTCGATTGTATACAAATCGTCCGCCATTTGTACCGACAACAACGATCACGTGACACTACTACCACTGGCATCTATTTCTTTCTAATCACGGGAATTTGTTATTCCGTGGGCATCAGTTTGTAACAGTAAAACATTCATGCTTACGTCGTTACAGGTTCCTTTCTGGAACTCACGATAAACCTCGGATGTTGTATCTTTGAATTCGTCCATCCAGGGAAGTGGGTGATCCCCCTCGTATACGATTCCACTGACGTATTTCACTATGAAAGAGCATAACAGCAATCAATAAATAGGCGATGAGAAACAATTCGAATAAGGGCGAAAAAAACACGGTCTATAACAACCGCTGATACAAGCATACACACATTGACCGCGCTACGCATGGTTTTGTGGAAATTCACACGGAAAGACAAGCTTTCTGAGGGTGATTACTACTTGAAACAAAGGTCATTCTATGCGAAGTGATTCACTCACTTTGTATTCGGAATGCCTCGACTGGTTAAAGAAGAAAAAAAGTAAAATGGGAAAATACAATCAGAGGGAAGATGAATCAAATTGTAATCTTATTCATCGACATTTGGAAAGATCATGCAAGAAATTATTACAAATTCACTTGTTTTCAATAAAGCATTACACTTTCAGCCGAGAGAGAAATCTCACTTTTCGAATAGTGCGCTGTTAACACGGAGTCTGCACTTTGCGATTCGTATTGCAGATACAATTTTTTTGAGCGGCTCACATAAATCATTGGAATAGGATTGTCGCACACATCGTACGGATCCGTGAATTTGTTTGACTCGCTTAGCTTCAGAGATCCTTGAGTGCATAGTAATTGGATCTGCGAACCAAGAGGAAGGAAAATATATTTGTTTAATCAGCTGCCGTATATCACGGGCTTCGTGTAGGTTCACGTCAAGTCAAGCATTGCTATTTACATGTTCGGGTGCATGTTCAACTGTCAACTAGTCCACGGGAAAAACAATGGGCACGAGGTTAACTACACTTGTCCAACGAAATTAAACCAGAGCTGTGGAAAAATCACTGAAAATACGGTCCGGGTGAGATAAAACCGGGCACCGTTATTCACGTACTACAACAAAGCATGTCCTTAGCCGGTACTAGCTGTACAAGTCATCACCAGTCAGCCAGTCAATAAGAAGCAGACACGTGGTGTAGTCTAACTGGTCAATGTAATCAAGGTCCCATGTGAGGAACATCCGTGTCATGTGCTTGTATGTCTGTGCAGCAGTGTGTGTACATCAAGCAGTGATATTATTTGTTCAATGGGAACAATGTATACAATAGTTATTCAACAAATGCGTTACAAATTGTTTCTCTGACGTGCGCTCATAACGATTATGCGCAGTAATGATGTGACATATCATTGATGGTCTGTCAGTCAACTCGATTNCCGTTTTGGATCACTGTATTCCTCTCCCCCCCAACACACACACACACGCACTCACATCGTCGCATAGGCGCACATGCATGACCAAGTGTACACCACGCACCAAATACAGTTACTCTTATTTCTGTCAATTTAGCTTTTGCTCTATAATCCAAGCAATCATTGTATTGTAACTCGTCATTATTCAGCAAATCTGTATAATCTGAACCCTTGGTGTTTGGGTTAACTACGGACTAGCTGCATTCTGAACAGTGCCATTCCACACTGCCCCTTTCCTTTGCCGTTTATTTTAACACCGCAAATTCCTCATCCAAAGAGAACGTATGTAGTGAGATAATTCCATTCCGGTACCGAATGCATACAATACCGGAAAGTTAATCCATTCGAGAGTGTAAAGAGTGTGTCTACCTTGATGCATGTGTGACTATCTATCTATCTGGAAGTTTATCTCACTGTCTGTTCGTCTGCTGGTCCATCTTTCGATATGCCCGTTGAGAAAACAAAGTATATTATTGTTATGTTTAAACTGTCCAGTAGAAAACTTGATGAGAACATAGAATAGTACACAAGCCCGTGTTCAGTGCTTCAGAATCATGCTATTGCAACATGGAAACTGTGTCGAACAGCTGATCTCCGAGCGCGGGTTTTCAAGCTCCCCGGCGATTGCTTTCACATAAACACGGCCGTGTAGCTCAGGAGTAAGGGTTTGAAGTCCCGACCTGACTGATCGCAGTTCGAGTCCTGACAGGGACGCAAAAAGTATGCACTGCTGACAAGTCCCAAACAGGACGAAACGGCTGTCCAGTGCTCTTTGTTGGTTATCACAAACATTTTCATCGCATTTAAACACGATAGGATGTTTTCAAATGAATACCGTTTAAAAACCGAAAGGCTTCTTAATCTGATGCTCCAAACTATCTTCGTTTTGCCGATAAATCTTCCTTTTCGACTGAAAGTGCCATCACTTAAGTGGCTCATTCCGCTGGTTCCTCGTTACATCGAAATTCTGGTACACTTCGTTAAATTTTGCTTTATTATGCTAATACATGTGGATCGATCAATCGTGACGGAGCTGGATCACATCTTTATTTGAGGTTGGAGAGCATTCTTCTACGCTGCCGTTCCCCGAATGTAACTTCTTAATTTGTGATAACTTGTCTTCTTCCACATTGGCTCTACTGTTATCTCTTATTCTTACCAGTCAGGGAGCCTAACGGGGCCTATGTGACTTAGTCTCCCGATATGAAAAACCCTAACCAGGAGACTAGGTCACATAGGCCCCGTTTGGCTCCGTGGCTGGGGATCCCGAGATGACTGTCACCGATGGTTAGAGACACTGAGTGATATGGCAAACAGTGGCGCTTATGCCTCTACTCACTATTCTCCTAGCACCATCCGTTAAAATTCTTTCCCGTTGCAGTGAAATTCCCATGACTGTCTTGATCGATTTTACTGGCTACATTTTGGTGCAAACGATCGATTCACCAGCTGTATACCAACTGATAAAGACCGCTATCCTGATGCTCATCTTGATCAATGTATAAATCATTCAATTACTTGTTCGGAATTCGGGTTTCTCCTTGTATGTAATACCACATAGCGAAGCAGGATCAGCCCTTATCTTGACTGTATAATAGTAAGTCGGGCGTGCATTTATATAGCTACGAACAGTCGTCTATTGTATAGGTATTGTCTTCTTTTTATTCCAAGGGTTGTTTTTTGTCGCCTTGCATGTTTTGCGAAACTTGTTGTCAGCTGTACCTGATGCCAAGTGCTGAAACTTTACTGAAATGTCCATGCGTATAGAGCTTGAAAATTGCTATGATAATGAAACTTATCTGACTACCTTAATATACTGAATTCGCTTTCGTGAGGATCAGAATTACTGGAGACTATGCTTCTATGCCAGGTTTGGCGAAACTTCGACAGTTAAAGAAAACGTGCCCTCACTCTCTCTGCCATCATCTTTATGATTCCTTCTCAATAGGGCGAAAGCATACACGCTGTGTCCCAATCTTCTCTCAATTACCGTTAGACGAATCCGGAAAACCCATTATCTTTCATGGCTAAATGAAATTACTCTCATCATCATCGAAAATTTGCAAATAAAGTTAAATTTCTGAAATTGCACACGATAGAGTCAATAATTAAACAAAGTCAGGTTACCTGGGTTATATTTATGAGAATGCGATCATCACCGTTCGTATACCGGATTTCCCATGTACATTTAACAGTGCCTTTCAGCTCAAATGTACCTTCGGTGTCGACAACATCGCTAGGACAGCCATCTGCGTAACGACACCGGATATATAGCAGATAGAAGGAAAATGTAAGCGGAAGTATCAAAAACAAAATCTTCGTGTTCACAACAAAACATGCCGACAAATGTAGTG